GCCATGTTAGTAATTAACAATATGACTACAAATGGTTTTAAATAAAACCTAGAGTTTAAATGTAATAACTAATAGTGTACAAATTTATTTTCAAAAAAGTCTAAAATGAAAATAAGAGTTAAATGAAATTTTTATTCAAAATCAAAATTATGTTATGTATTTCGTCATTAAAAATAATTAGGAATACCTAACTTGATGGACAGAATTTTAAAGTTACATTCTAGTTCCTATTTTGTTATAAATTACTTGTATCGTATCTAATCTGAAGTAAACGTTTTCAAATATGACTCTTACATACAAATAATATAATGTAAAAACAAGAAGCAAAGCACGTACAACAAAAAACATAACTACCAACTTAAGAATACTGTGATATTGCCTTTATCTAAAGAGTTTGTATATAATATCTTTCAGTTAAATTTAGTACCATTCATACCATCTTAATCACCATATTATCAACGGGGCATTTTGTAATTGGACACAGGATGCTGTCCATCATGATCATTGAGCTTTTTGAACTTACCAAGCATATAACTTGGATACAGGGTGTATATAAAGGTATTACTGATACAAAATGGAGATTTTATTAACTAGGTTCATGAAAAAAACATCCTATATATATTAAAATCTTCATTTTGTTATATATTTTTGACAAATCATTATTCATAGGGTTGCAAACTCCTTAATACATCTGACTGAATAGTTTTAGTAATATCTTAATAATAAGTTTAAATTATAACTTTCGAGTAAATTTAATTAATTGAACTTTAGCGTCTTTATTAAGATATCAGTAAATTTGTTATCTATATTTTTATAATGAATTAAAATAGTGAAAGTTTTGTAGGAAGCTACGGGAAGCAAAACGTAAAGCATTTTGAGACAAAAATAATTATAAGAAATGAGTTTAATATCTTAGTAATTTAATTAATATAGTTTTTTATTATGAATGTAGTAATTTTAATAATGGTTGAATGTTTTTACGGCCCCCCATCAAGCCATCAATCAATGCATTTCGGTTTAACTGCTATGAAACGCAACTTACAGGGTTACTCACTCGTCGCTAGTTCAGGGTTGTCTACATACTTAAATTTATACTCAGAGGAGATAGTAGTTGCCACAGATTAAAAAAATAAATAAATAATGGTTCTTTAAGATATCTGTATCAAAATTTGGTAACCTAAATATATTTATATTATTAAAAAAATGTGAATAATATATTTCAATTCTAAGACTTATTTTAAAATAAATATAAAATTGCCATTATATTACATATGCTTTTAATATATTTAAATTAATTAATAATAATGGCAACACCATCCCTACGTCAGAAGTACTTTATTTAAAATTTCATGAACAAGACATTCATCCTGTTGGGTTATAAAATGTATTAGTAAGAACATTTTCAAATAGGGTGCTTAGTTTTATGGCGGGCTATTACTAATTTTGGGGTTATTACTTTATATTTTTATCTGAATATAAGTTATAAGTAATATTCTACTGTATATAAGCTGTTTATTGATGTTATTTATCTTCATTTACAAACTTTAAATTTTAAATAGAAAGATATTACATATTTTATTTTATCAATACAAATATATGGACAATCTACCTCTTATAGGTTTCTCTTAAAGAGAATCTCTACTTTTCATACATTGCCAGCAATTACTCAAGGATGCTGAGTTCAAAGATAACTTTCAATACTGAATTTCCTCTCAGTAGTTCTGTGGTTTAATCTATTAACTGGTATCTCAACATTATGTGAATTATCCTTACTCTGATCGATTATATGTACTTTTAGAAATCAGAAGCAGATATATTAAAAAAGAAACAATTTCAACACTTGACCTAGTTATTTAGTCTCGTAAAGTAATTTTAACATTAAAATTAATTAAATAGAAAGAACACAATCCTAAACTTAATAATTATTAAACGCTTTAACAAAACTACACGACCGGTGTTTGCATTACGAACGCCAAGAGCCAAGCGACAAGTGACAAGTGGCGGTTTGAATGCTTCTTTTATAAACAATCGTGTGGGTAGTTCTTTTATAAATAATGACGGTTGTAAGCTGATTGCTTATACGGCCTCTCCTGACATAGTGGCGTCCTCGACACGAGCTTTTCATTGATCGTCACTTGATCCAGCGCCATCCGCTTCAACGTCTTCGTCCAGCAACGGTATCGAAAGACTGACCCCTGGCTGTGGTATAGAGCCGCTGGGACCAGCGACGCTAACGGCTCCAAGCTTTGAGTTCTCATTGAAGGAAGGCATCGAGGGTCCTATCCCCGAAGATAGTGCTCTGTCCGGTGACTCGTCTTCACTATTATTCTCATCAGCAAATCTGTTACTGTTATTAGGAATTAAGTTTAGTCTGTGTGACATTCAACCTTACAAACATTCCATCCATCGTCATTCAATCAATTCAAACTTCATCTATCCCACAATCATAGCAACACGTATTCTGCCACCCTTTAAATAATAACAGAGTCGTTTCTTAAAACGACTAGTTGAGTATAAGTGCTCTTCTTCACGGCAGTAGACTCCATTCCATATAACTGAACTTTCATGAACGCCTAGACAGTATGTCTGTAGTTCAACGAACGCCAAGACATTACGTCTGAAGTTCGAAATAGACGCCAAGGCTTTGAGCCTGAAGTCTTAACACTGAACGCCGAGGCCAATCTGGCCTGTAGTTCTCATATCAAAACTCGTGCATACTCTTAAAGAAGGCTGCACATGACTCGGGACACCATCACCACGCCAAGGCACCATGTATCGTGCCGCAGTTTGTGTAGTCTCCCCGTAGCTGCCACTCAGTAACTTGAGCTCATCGTCCGTTCAATAGAGCTTTCACGACTCGGTAGGGTCCTCGCATTCCATCTGAAATACCCAGCCAGCCCTAAGAACTGGCGCACCTGTCGAACACTTTAGGGGATCTGTGAACTTACAAGAGCTTCGACCTTATGTGGGCTCGGCCCTACCTGACCCTGACTTACATCTCGTCCAAGATATTCAACCTCCGTAGTTAAGAACGAACACTTACGTAGGTTTATAGAGAACCCAGCGGTAGTAAGCGTTTGGAGGACTTTTTTTTTAAAAGAGAAATACTTTCAACGATTGTGGAGCTCATTATGAGGACGTCATCCACGTAAACCAGGACCTGACCTGATTCTTCTGGGGTAACGAACCCAGTCAATCGATTCAAAACCCGAAAGCCAACGCATAGGCGGTCCAAACCATCCTTTTTCTTAACGAGTATGACCGGACTCGCGTACTGTAAGCTTGACTGTAAGTTTGACTCCTGATAATTCCTTTTTCCAAAAGCTCGTCTATAATTTTGCGGACTCGGAGATTTTCATCGTAGGAAAGCTTATAGGGTCGGTAAACCACTGGGGTTGTATCCGTTAATTGAATATTCATTTCGCCGGTGTTAACAGTAGTTGTAGCTGTTCCAGCGATAAGAAACTCTGAGAACTCCTTTATGCTTTTAAGCAACAATTCATAACTCCCTTAAGGGGCGTGTTTATCTCAAGACACCGTAAAATTAAATAGTGTTAAATTGAATAGGGGAATCAGTAGACCTCGTCACATATTGATCATCTTTAGTGCGAATATACATGATACCATCGCGATTTAGTATATCCGTTCCTGCAATAATCGGTGCGTTCATACACGAAGAAGGGACTATAAGCAGATTCACCTCAATTGAAATTTGACTAAACTCGAGAGTAACGGTCACATAAGCTTTGACTACTATTTCTTTTTCGCTTATACCCTTTAAGACACAGTTGATAGACTCTGGTTGGCTGGCAAGGTACCTCAGCACGTCCGAGGAAATAAGTGACACGTTAAGAGCACCGCTATCAATGATAGCATCCATGGGAATGTCATCTACCACAACAACAACAATATCACTTGCACCCGCATTTTTAGAATTATTCTCCGCGCAAAGGTTAACGTTTCTCTCGTTTCGCTGTTTAGAACGATTTTTAGCAAAACAATCTTCTTCCTTGTGGCCCGGCTTTTTATAAAAAGTGCATGTAATACTGCTCGAGTTTCTAGAGGAAAGTGTTTTATTATCTGTGCTGGGCTTTGAGTGACAATAACGGCTAATATGTTCCTTACGACCACACACGAAACACTTCTGTTCGTTACGATTTGGTTGATTAAAATCTCTATTAGTTACCGAAGTGTGGGTGGGTAGTAGTTTTCCACGACCTGGTTTAGTATAAATTGATAAAAACGAAACTATTGTTTCCGGATTCAAATGTGCATTAGCAGCGGCAGCTCTTATTTGAGGATTGTCAATACCGCGGATCACGATTAAAGTCATAAGGTCCTCACTTAAACCGTTAACTATTCGTAAACGTAAAAGAGTCGCGTCGTGCGTATTCTGCATAGGTAACGTACTTATCAGATGTGGTATTCATTGTTTGAAAAAGGATGTTAGCGTAATCTAACTTGCGCGGGCACAGTGATTTGAATTCGCGTTTGAAATTTGTCCACGTGCGATCGGTCGTAACCCATTCGTTTTTCGCCAAATTTTTGCGTCACCCTTGAGACACGAACCAATACGAGATAGACACTCAGAATCAGTCCAACCATTTGCCACCTGAGCGCGATCAACCTCGTCGCACCATGATTCTATGTTACGAGTAGAAGGATCAAAATTTGAAACAAAGTAATTGTGTGACCTGATTCGTTGCAACAATTTGAGAGCATCTACTAGGGCCCTGGTTGAGTCGGGCTTGTCTGACTCTAAGTTACTTACTTGTGGTGTAAATGTGCGGGTATACGGTAAACAATTTTTAGTTCGTGTGTCATGGGTACTCGCCTGAGGCTCCGGCGTGTAGCACCTGGACATGTTTGATTGTGATGTGTTCAACTTGCCCTCGGTGGTATTACACGTAACACTGGGATCACAACGCACAATTGTTTTTTTTTTGAAACACTTGTTACGCAATTATTTTCTATCGACGTTAAACGATTCATGATCGAATTCAGTGTATTCTGAATAGAAACATCTGTGGTATTTTGAATGCGCAGGGACAGCGACCTATCGTTGTGGTGATTACGGTGGCGTACACTATCATGACGCGACGTATTACGAGTTCGGGCACGGTTTTTACTTCGAATTCTACTGCGTGAACAACACGCTGACCGGCGGTTATTAATTGTGGCCTTAGAACAGCTACGCCAGCGATATCGCGATCTACAACTCGTACGGCTGCGAGAACGATGTCGCGACCTACGCTCATTACTGCTAGATCTGCCAGCCATATCAAAATGAACACGAGAACTAAAAATATGTGTAAAAGACTTTGTTCCTCCTTTCTTGTGGGCAAAAAGTTACTTATCCCACTTCTGATTTTAGAAATCAGAAGCAGATATATTAAAAAAGAAACAATTTCAACACTTGACCTAGTTATTTAGTCTCGTAAAGTAATTTTAACATTAAAATTAATTAAATAGAAAGAACACAATCCTAAACTTAATAATTATTAAACGCTTTAACAAAACTACACGACCGGTGTTTGCATTACGAACGCCAAGAGCCAAGCGACAAGTGACAAGTGGCGGTTTGAATGCTTCTTTTATAAACAATCGTGTGGGTAGTTCTTTTATAAATAATGACGGTTGTAAGCTGATTGCTTATAGTACATATTCTTCTTCTTCCTGGCAATTTCCCAGCTTAAGCCAGGCTCTGCCTTACATGTTGTGAATAGTTTTGGCTAATTGTTTTTACGACCGGCCGCCTGCCTAACATCAACCATCTTTGGGAATGCATTAATCAGTGATGTCTAAATATTCTTAAGTACACATGACTTGGAAAAATCACATTGGTACTTGCCAGGATCGAACTCGCGTCCTCATATATGAGAGGCCTTTTAACCACTAGGCCACAACTGACTATATAGAAATATATGCTTTAAAATTTTCCGCTTTTATCTAAGTCTAAGCCTTGAAACATTGAAAGAAATATCAATAATGACAAAGCGGTTAAGTAAGAAGAGATCTTTAAAACGTTCTCACTATATAAGTCCTTTGATTTTCTTATTTCATTCCTAGAGTACATTGAGGACGTGTTTCAATTAAAATAATAGTCACACAAGAGTATTTGTGTCGGACGAGGTGTCGTTAGATGAAACGTAATTTGCTTAAACTCTCAAAGTTCATTCGTTTTCTAAAACTAATTGACTTGATCACATTATATTGAGTTAGCGAAGTTTAATCCTTTTGTATTTTGCTTTTATAGTTGAGAGGCAATTTTATATTTACTATTTATTTTAAAGCATGTTATCGGAGAGAGAAATTATGGCCAGTGTTGCTATATATGAATTTCCTAAGATATTAATTTTTTTAAGATATCAGGACTTTTTTGAATGAATTCAAAACCACTAAACATAATAAAGAGAGTATGTATTGACGGCACATTCAACCTATTTTATTTTATCCTTTATTGAAAAAAAAAAATTCAACTAACTGACTTTTACAGAACTTGTCGAAAAACTGAGTTATAACAAAATAGCCAAATCTTATTTTACAACTTAACTAATTTGTAAAATAGAATCTGTAAAAGCTTTAAATTTAAGAAATACAAATTACACAAATCAATATACAATAAAAATAACTAAATTCAAAGTTAAGACATTTGTTCCTCATTAATTCCTTTGTGACGTACAGAATAAAGAAGAGATTTGACCGAAAAATCTGAGTTGTAATCTTCTATATATATATAAAAAAGGATTGCTGTTCCTTAGTCTCGCTAAAACTCGAGAACAGCTGAACGGATTTATCTTATCTTAGTCTTGAAATGTTCGTGGAGGTTCAGGGAAGGTATAAAAGCTGAAAAAAATTGAATCATTACTGGGAAAACCATAAAAACAGCCCTTTTCTATTTCCCATACAAACGTTTTTTTTGACATTAGATTTGACAACTAACTAATATGTCAATCATTCAAAAAAACGTAATAGATATTTCTTGATTATAGGGCGATACGAAGTTCGCCAGGTCTTCTAGTATGATATAAACATTTGAAATGATTAATAATGTTTACAGTAGGATGCAGGCCAGACGGCATTTGCTGGCTGACGTGGCCGGACAACCATTGTTCATGTCATGAGTGTGTGGATTAATTATATTATTTAACAGGAATCGACCATAACCTAGCCTTAGTAGTTACTACGACCACATAAAGACTACAATGATTCTGATTTAAAACCAGTTTTCCTGTACGTTACTTATAATTTGACGTAAAGTATATAGGTACACTATACAGTGAATGATGCTAGTCTTTGTACATTGAGAAGTCACTTCCTCGACTAATTGAACAATGAATTTAATACGCTTTGTCACTGAATTCAAATTGCATACGTTGAATTTTTCATGCGTCCACATTTGCATTGGCGCCCCCGTAATGGTATGACAGCATAAAAGTATTTCAAAAGAATTATTCGTGTTATAAATAATATTAAAAGCGACCTCTTCTGTATTTCAGTGACAGTATAACGTGCGGTTTTGACGTGATTGTTAAATTTATCGTCAGCAATAGTAGCGGTGTCTGACGGATCATAAAATACACGTGTTCAATTAGCCGCGGTCGAATTTTTTTTATTAACGTAGGTTAAAATTGAAATACGTTCTGAAATTATCGTTTAGAAACAGAAAAGCCATATCATATTTAGTATTTATTTAACTGTTCTATATAGAACCTTCTAGAACCTAGAATAAGCTACATTTCAAACAATTATACCATTTCAAATACAAACAATTCCGATACCATAATATGAAAAGTTCCATACTCATGCAACAACACCAAATATCAAGAAACCCTTTGTTAAATTACAATAATAATAAATTTTTCCGTATTGCAACATTTCCTGAAATCAATTAATTATTCCGTATGCAATTATTAATTAGATATTAACTCTGTTGTCTGGTATAAACACATCATTACATGTATTTAATTACTTAATTCACGGAAATTATATGTAACTTTATATATTTTAAGAAATAAATTAATAGGTATATTTTCAATAAGATAATAATTATTATTAACGAATCATGAATTTAATCTAGATTAATTTATACGAAAGGGTTTGAGTCAACTAAATTTTACTAGAATCTGCATAATAAATGCGGCAACACGCGTCATAACTTCGGCGGGGATAAATTTAATTAAGTCTTATTTGGAAGACTTGTCTATCTCGAGGGATGACTTGGAATACACCGATATCATTTTAGAACGACACTGACAATGTAACTTTACACTTATATTTGATAATTTTATTATATAATGAGATCTAGGACTTGCGAGTATTCATTTAAATGAAACTAATAATATTATGTACTACTGTAATACGTTTGATCACGGGTAGATAAGATGAGACTTCGGGAGTATGTAAATTTGATAAAAATAAAAATCGCGTAGTACATATATCCGAAAAATATTAGTTTCATTTATTATATAAAGTTCTTTAAATAATCATATGAGTTGGATTTCATCAGTGAACTATGGATGATGTTCGTTCGTACTTTGCTCGAACAAATATATATATATATATATATATATATATATATATATATATATATATATATATATATATATATATATATATATATATAATTTAAACTTATAAGATTTTAATGCATTATACATATTCTAAACAAACATGATATTCTTATATCAAGAGCCGTCTAAATTAAAGAAAGTTTTCCAATAAAACCCCGTTTACCTTTACAGTCTTGAAGCGTTTGAAATACAGGTGCTGAGATTTATGGGAACGGAGTGAAAATAGACTCAGTACTCTTGGGATCGAAGAAGCGCCTGCTAAAAAGATAGGCGCCGGTCCGCTGACTCACGCGGCCTGTTTAATCACAAAACTAAACTTCCTTACACATCATACATACGAAATAGCACCTTAAAACAAATGTATATAACACAAAATCGTATGTTCATTGTTTTTATGATATAGACGATGCAGATGCTCGAACAATAGTCTAAATCTGGATATATTTTTTGTGAATCACTCTAAACATAGGAGTTACGACCTTCCATCGTACTTTTAATGTCCGTTCACATTAGATGTGATCTTTTTCTGTATTAAACTCCGTCTTGTGAATTGCTAAACACAATTATTAAGTTCCTTAACTTTCTTAAAGTAATAGATTTGATTTTCATACTGAATAATTTTTATCATTTTTAGTAAATTATTGTTATAACTTGCTGAGTTTAGAAATAATAAAGTTAGAAAATTTATTTAGACATACATAATTAATATATTTATTATGTCCAAACTGCTTTTAAAGTCTTTGTTGAATATTGATAGTTTGCCGTATAGAAAGATTTTTTTTATTAAATTTTATTTGATTTAATGGCAACATTGTACATATTCCTTTCTCTTTTATACTTCTTGATTTTAAGAATTAAATTTTTATAGTTATTCCGTGTAATTAACATAAATTAAAAAGGATATTTTGTATTTCCTGTAATAATAACTATATAATATGTTTTCCTTAATTATGCTCTATTTACTCTTTTCATTCAATTTTTTTGATACAATGCATATTATATTTTACATGAATCTTTAAATGAAGAATTAAAAATTCATTTCTATCAAAAGAATGTTATTTTAATACAATTATATAAATTTAAAAGCATACAAAATGCTAAGACGAACGTGATCAGCTTTCCTATTTTGGTGACAACTTTGAACACTTTTGACTAGTCCTAATATTATTAAATTAATATATCAATGCATCGCTGCATGGGGCATTCACAACATATCAAGTCACTGAACTTTTCTCTAACCCAAATTGCCGTCTGTTGTCCGCGATAATTAATCAAGCTCGCCAACAGCCAAGGGACGTTAATGATGTCCAAGGACTTCAATTTATAGCGATATCCAACAAAGACAGTTATAATTAATAGTGCATTTTGAGACTAGACTCGGACCTTAATCACAGATATTAATTAATATTAGAGGTAAGGTTGGATTAAGCCGTTATTTTGAATACGTCTGCATCTGACAAGCGTTTTAATAACTCTCTTATCTGTCAAAATGACAGACATATTGTTTGCATTTTGCCACCATATTGTGTGTGAACTGAAATAAAATTATCATATTATACTTAATTAATGAAAATATTATATATTTGTTAGTTTTTGCTTATTTTTATATTAATTCTGTAGTATAGTTATTAAATGACCTTGGTAATCTTATTACGCAGCGGTCATTGACTCATTATGTTTATACG